GCCAAGCTGTGCGCTCCAATGGAGGAAAACAGAAAGTCAGAACAACATATCATGCAACGAAGGGCAGAGGACAAGTCCTGGCTGTGGTCCACCTCAGCTCAGAGTCTGTCTCCATGATGGCCCTTGGTTGCTTCCCACAGTGACACATGCCTTCTGTACAGTGTGTCCCATCTAAGGTGACAATGGTGCTCCCTAGACCATGTAGAGTTGTCCTATAAGCTGAATCCATGCAGAGGCAACATGTGATCAGTGTTCAGTATTCACTATTAGTATTATTATCTTTACCGCCTTAAAATAGTATTTATTGGTCGGTAAGTCTTCCACTCAGAACAACAGCGACTTAGCACTGTCAGTACCATGGGAAGTAGAGTATTTGTGCTCTTGGCCCTCAAAGATGTCCACAAATGGTACCCTGCACGGTCAGAGCGCTTTGCAGACGTGATCCTATCAAGGTAGATTCCTCTGGGTTAATCAGAGGTCCGGTTTCACTAAAGCAATCTTTCTGTAGAGAATTGGAGGATCCGAGAAGAAACATGGCAGCACAGGCGAGGATGGAGTGATACAGCCACAAGCAGGGGATGCAGACAGCCTCCGCGACCAGAAAAGGCCAAGCAACACAGTCCCTTCCTTCTCCGTAGCCTGACCAATGTGTGGTTTCAGACTTCTCACCTCTGGAACCAGGAGAAGCCGAAGCTGTGAAGTGTGTGCCACTCCCTAAGTTCATGGAAATTCGTCACAGCAGCTAAACAAACAAACTGCACCTAATACAAACTGCCAGGACCTTTGAGATCTAACGTGGCTCTCCTGATGACAACCACAAACCACAGGCTTAGGGACATCTGATTAACAGACACAGGGTCCTCCTGGTGCTCTAAAAGCCCCCAGTCCCATTTTCTACAACAGATATGTATCCTGTGTCTACTCTCACAAATAGTCATGGCCCCACCCCTGACCACAACGAAAGCTATTTACAAAGGTCAGAAGAGGGCACTGGGTCCCCTGAAACTGGAGCTACTGACCATTGTGAACTACCAAACAGGTGCTGGGAACCATACTCATGTCCTTTTCAAGGATAAGTGAGCCACAGGAGTTAATTATAAATATTTACTGGGCATTTACTAGGTGGCTTTCTTCTCCAGGGATATATCATTTATATAACCTGATCCTCTCGGTAAATTATAAGAGATAATAAATAAAGTGAAAACTATTATCTCCACTTTTTCCCCTGCTTTGTTTTTTTTTTTTTTGAGACAGGGTTTCTCTGTATAATCCTGGCTGTCCTAGAACTCACTCTGTAGACCAGTCTGGCCTCAAACTCAGAGATGCCCCTGCCTCTGCCTCCCCAGTGCTCGGATTAAAGACGTGCACCACCATGCCTATGCACAGCTGCATCTCCACTTTTCTAACTGAGAAATTGTGGCCAAACTCACTTGTCCAAGATCATATTGACGGTCTAGGGTAAACACATGAAAAAAACTAGAATTTGGGCCAACTCCTGCCCTTAGCCTTCAATGCTACCCTAAACTGTCTGACCTGGAGATGATGCAGCCACTATCTGTAGATACTTAGCCACCTGGTGTGCACCTGCTTACTTTGGGCTGCAAAGGAGCTCTAACTACCTAAATAGCCCTACCAATTGAACTGTGTCAATTCTCAAAGCACCCTGAGGGCAGAAACAGCCAGATCCCTCACTTTGACCTCTGTTCTCTAGCTTGGTGAGTCTGAAAGGGCTTCACGTTCACCCAATGTCTGTACTGAAGAGAAGAAAGTCTCCAATCCCTCTGACTCTCCCTCTTTATTATCACCCTGGGGAGAGGTTCATCCGTCACCTCCATCACTCATGACCAGCAGATCTCAGTACAGCAGGCCACAGCCCAGGGGAGGCTCTTTTGTCCCTGCTAGAGTTGCAAGCACTGGTGGGCTGCCAGGTCAGACCCACCCTGCATGACTGGCTGATGGCTCCCTATGAAGCCCACAGGTCATTTCCATTCTAGAACTCCCATCATTGAGTCTGCCTCTTGGGGAGGAAGGGGATTAATGGTTAAGGTTCTGGTGGTGCTATAGTCACCGGTCATTACAATTAGGAATGGTTAAAGAGTTAATTTACGGCTAATGTAAACATCGAAACCACAATACCATTTTAATTACCTTGTGCTTATTGACTTGTGTTATCTGTGGGGTTTATTTCTTGAAAGCGTTTTTGATTTGGAAGAGCCTCTACCTGATGCCCAGAGATGAGGATTCCTAAGCTGTGTCTTCCCTCTCTAGAAGAATCTGGAAGGCATATGAGACCAAAGCTGGAGTCCCAACCCCAGCTCAGGAACATCAGAGGGCAATGTCATATTAGAGTTGTATTCCTACGGCAGGGCAGGACAAAGAAGGTGAGCCCCTAATCGAAACCCCTCAACAAAGTCTAGTCTTAGGCATTAGACACCAGACAGAGCCAAACTCCCTAACCAGTACTGTTCCCAGGAGTCAGGGCCTCAGATCACAGGAGGGTTTGAGAGGCTGGGCTGTTCCAGATCAAATGAGTCTGAGGAAATGAGATAATGAAAAGCAGTAATGGTCTAGACAGGATCCACAGCGCAGAGAGGGCATCGGGAAGGAACGGGCCAGATCAGCAGCCCCTGGACTTCAGTCACTAACACTGTACCAAAGCCGATGTCCATCTTAGTAATCAAGGCAGCCTGGTTGTGTGAGATGCTGACCTAAGGGAAAGGAGGATGATGACTCTGCAAATCTGCTGGCAATCGAAAATTATTTCAGAATAACAAGTTAGGCACAAAGCTTGGGATGGGTTTGGTGTGCATTCGAACCAACTCACTCAGAATCTCAGGCACATAAGCTCCGCAGGGATTCTGCTATGCAGGAAGCACTGAGAGCCACTGAGGTGGAACTTCAGAGGTAAGCACACGTCAACATATTCTGGAAGAATTATTAAAGCAACTGGCAGCCTCAGGCCCGGGTTTGGTTCAGTGAGCCTGGGCAGACCCCTGAGAGTCCATATTCCTAACAAGTTCCCGGGTGGTGGACTGGCGGCTGTCCTGGAACCACACCCCAAAAACCACTATTCTCCATCCTTGCAACTCACTATAGTCCCTGGTTCAGCAAAACTACAATCCCCTGGAAGCTGATGACCAATGTAGTGTCACCCAGACTCCTTAAGAAGACCCCAAGCCACTGGTTTACACAGGAAAATCTACGGAAAGATCATGCGTGGTGCAGGGAGGGGGAGCAGGGAGGAGCTGGAGAGGCAGAGAGATGAACAACCGTCGCTGTACTGCTCTCAACAGCCTGATCCTTCCCCAGGAATAGAAACATGGGAAGAAAAGTCAAGAGTTCTGCACCTCGGAACCAAAGGCTTTATTTATTCTGCCAGTTCTGGACTTGTAGGCCATGCGCTGGCTCAGAGCCCATCTCTTGCTTCAGCCACACCTGCCTGACCGTTTAGCCCGCTAAGATCACTCTTCCCACAGGGGCCACACTAAGGGCTGCTGCCAACCTCCCATCTGCCCCACTACCCAGGATTTGCTTGGGGGCCTCTTAGAGCCGTTCTGTCTTCACAGGGTATCCCTGAATGTTGTCAAGAAGACCCCCACAGTCTGCAGTTATAGAGGCTGACCAGCTCCCATCCTGCATCAGAGATACATAGCTGTGGAAAAGATACATTGTTGAGAGTAACCTGGCCACCCTCACAGCACCTCCTCTGCGCCCATGAGTGAACACGCAGCCTTTTAAACCAGTTCAACCTCCCTGAAAACCACAAAATCTGTCAAGACTCCCAGTATCTCCGTGCTTACAGAGCACTAACCAAAGGCCAGGGCATCAACGTACTGGGTACTTAGAGGCACTCGGCTCAGGCACATAAAACAACTCATTGAGTGCCGTGGGAGGTCACCCGTAAGTACCAGCCTACTCCTAGATTTATTTACAAAGTACCCTCCACTCCCAACTCTTTTCTGGCCCCTCCTATCCTTAAACTGTTTTGAAATCCCAGAGTAAGCCAACCATTACATCCAAAGCAAAAAAGCAAGTGACCATTATCTTGAACAGAAAGGACATTTATATTTACTTCAGGGGCTGTAAAAGACGCCATAAAATAGAATATGCAGCATGTATCCTCGTGATTAATAACAGAGTTTGCGAATTAGTCTCCCGGGTCCCTGGATACATCCAACTGGTCACCAAGAACAATCAATTCTTTGAGACAATAAAAGAATGCAAATAGTCTCTGATCACTAGAAAAGTCTGCGTGTTGTATCATTAACAAAGAGAACAGGAATAAGGCTCAGATTTGGGGTTCTCTGATCAGAGTTACCTGTCTGTAAGCATGGGTGATCGTGGAGCTGAGCCTGCCATATGTGGGGTCTCAGAGCCCCAGAGACCATGCAGACGTCCGAGCGATGATGGACTTGGGAGAGGTGAACACTGACAGGCAATAGGATTAGACACAGAATTTCAACAGGTGACATGGATGTGTCCAATTGGACAATGACTGTGGCTCCATCGGGAAGACTGATGTCTCCAAAGACCTGAAAGGACCAGGTACAATCCCAGACCTGAGGTGCAGGTCACTGACTGAGAACCAGAGGTAAGTTAGGACCTAACCAGCTGAATGAGTCTGGTGCCCCAGGCATCAGAAACAAGGGGGAGCCTATCTCTGCCCGAGGTCCGAGCTTGCGGCTTCTTAATATCCCCAAGGAAGATCCAGGATGTAGATGGAAGAGGAGAAGTCTCCAAGGAGCAGGGTGTGGCCCTGTGGCAGGAGGAGTCTTATAGCCTGCATGGCTTCTAGGGGCAAGGTCCCAGTGTAAAGGTGTTCAAGTCCACTGCAAGCCATGTAGATTTGCTCCCAGCCTAGCAAATAAATTCTAAAACAAAACCAGACTTCATTCTCCTAGGCCTCCCTGAGAAACCTAGGGGTTTCCCAAGAAAGCAGCTACCAAGAACAACCAAAAGTCCAAATGGAGCATTGGAGTCAGAAGGGACAATGCCTGTGACCTTGAAAGGGTTTATTGAAACACAACACATACAACACTGGAGGTACCACCACAACAGCACGAACCCACAGCTGCACCGTTGACTCTCGGATGCAGCCTTCCTCGCTGAGGTGAGACACCGTTGGGAGTGATATGGCAAAAACACGAAGTCCAGGACCCGCTTATTTCCTCCAAGTTAAATGCCCTGTTGGCGCATGTGGTTCGTCCTTTCTGCCAATCCCCAGAAAAGTGGGGATGACCAAGCCCACAGTACCTACAGGAGATGGGAAGACGGTTGCTTTATCCCCTCCCTAGAAGAAACAAACTCACTCCCCAGTACAGTCCAGGGCCCCAAGACAAGACTTCGGTTGGGGGGGGGGCTCCAACAGCAGAGCTAGGTGGTGCCATGGACGACCATCCTGGCACCACAGGCCAGCCCTCGGCACACACAGGTCAGTTGGTACTCGGAGCAGGAAAGAAGAAGAACTGAGGCATAGAGAGACACTAGGAAGGGGCAGGGAATGACAGCCACACTCAGTGTGGGGCCCGAGTCAGCCAGCCCAGGAGAGTCGAAACCCAGCAAAGCAGCCTCAAGCCCTTCACTCGAAGCAGAAGTTCATGCAGGCTGATCTGCCAAAGGCTAAAGGCCTCGCTGAAAGATATCTGGGTCCTTCTGAAGAATGAGTCGGCATCCCTCTTCCTGTGCCTAGAGGAGGGAAGGAAACAGAGGTGAGAAAACACCACCTCAGCATCATGGAGAAAATCAAAGACGGCAGGGGGCCTGGCCAGCTCAATAGCTCCCTGACCCTGGGACTCGCTTGTTTACTTGACTACACAACTGCCCAACTGAGGGGGTGGGGGGTTTGGGGGCTAGGACAACTCGCTTATCCCAAAGAGAATATTCAAAGCAGTAAAATAATGAGGCATAGGGGCTCTGATTCCCTTACCCAGTAGAACACTCCATGGTTTAATCAAAAAGTACAATAAATATACATCAACCCAGAGTCCCATTCTGCCCCAATTCAAATACAGTTAAAGTCTCTACAGAAGGTCCGGTGACGTTGGGAGGCTGAGCACTTACATGTCAACCCAGCTCAGTCTCTCTGAACCAAACAAAAGACATAACGAAAATTGGAATTTATGATAATGACCTCTTGTTAGGTTTTCGGCTAGCAGCTAATCAAGAAGCCACAATGGTAAAAAGCAATGACAAGGCCCCATTGGGAAGCTATCCATGAACCTGTAAGCCCCTGGGAGACTCCCCAGGTGTCTGGATCCCAGGAGATTAGCAGACTCCATAATTCTCATTTCCCCATAGAAGTTTATAGAACCAGGTTATCAGATTCCAAGACATCAAAGGGTGCACCCTCCATCATATGAGTTTACCTAAACTGAAAAACTCCTCCCTCATCCTCGGGGTCACACACCCTTCCAGAAAATGTAGCAATCCCCCCAACCCTTGCTGTCTGACAATCAGGGACAGCCTACACAGGGCCCTGCTGTGTCAACTACATGGTATGAAACCTGCTCTTCCTCTAAAACCTGTAGGAAAGGACTCCCTCTCTGCTACGTGGGCCTGAACTCTCTGTAGAGGCCCTGCCATGCTCTGTATGCCTGATTATCTATCTATCTGTGGTGTTAATGACTTCTAAACAGTGTCTTACACCAAATGGCTGTCTACCTCCAAGACTCTGCTGAGCTCCAAACCCAAGACCTTTCTCTTTTTAAGACTTGGCTTCCTTGGCCCTCAGGAAAAAGAAAGAAAGAAAGAAAGAAAGAAAGAAAGAAAGAAAGAAAGAAAGAAAGAAAGAAAGAAAGAAAGAAAGAAAGAAAGAAAGAAATCACACTCTGCCCTTCATTGGTCAGAGTATTTTGCTGTAACCCAACTCATATTTGCTAGTGAATGCGTGATCTATGCGGCCAAATAGTTGCCCAGAATGATCCATTCCTTTCCCAGGATTGGCAAGCTGAGATGTCACACAAGCAAGGTTTCTTCTCTGGGCTGAGAACATCCTGCCAGACCATGGCCTTTGCAGTGTATTCACCCGACTCCACTGGAGGCCTAGAACTTGATCCCCTAGATCCTTTATCCTAGATCCTGAAGAAGCACGGTTCTTATCATCCATGTCTCCAGGATGCCAAGGCATCTAGAAGGATCTGTGACCCTGAGAGAGTCTACTAGTCACACCTCCCCAGGTCACAGTCACATCTCCAGGATAAAGAGCAATGGCCTCCATGTCTGGACTGGTACTAGGAGCCAAGTCCCAGGGCCGATTAGAAATAGGGTCATGTTGGGGCTTCCTGATCACAAGTCTAGAGGACATCTGGATGGGATGAGATGCTCGAAGACCAACTTCAAACTTTTTTGAGGGAAAAAAATCATCTGGAAAGCTGGACTGGGAGGATGCAATCCCAGGTGCCATCATTTGGCAAAGCACAGGCGTCCGAGGCCACACAAAGGAACCATCTCAAGGCACCTGCTGACTCGCTGCAGCTGACTTTGCCCCTGTGAGTCTCTGAGGGGAGATCCATCTTGATAAACCAAGATGGGGCCTAAGGACTGAATGGTAGGGAAAGCAAAGCCCATGGAAGAGTTCCTGGAACTGGGAGGCGGCTGAGACGGGTGCATACTCACTCGGCCAGTGCTCTGATACAACACCGAGACATGTTGAGGAAGGAACTGGCACTGGACCGGGTGCCCAGGGAGGTCTCAATGCTGCGGAGGAGATCATTGGTCTTCAGGATGAGTAGCATCTGGCGAGGCACGTGGTTAAGGAGCTGGCTGATCTCAGACAGGTAGTTGGCTGCATTATTGCGGATCTCTGAGTCCTAGATGGTGGTAAGAAGACGTGACAATGGGTGGTGTGGCACACAAAGCTCACAGTGCCAGGGGTGTGGGGAGCCTATGCCCAGGAGAACACAAATAAGCTACAGGTGGGAGCTTCTAGCATGCAGCTGCCTTGACACCCTGTGGAACATCCACGCACACACAAAAGGAAAGCAAAGCATTGGGGCCTTGTGGCCTGACCATCCAGATAGGAGGCCCGAGGCCGACTCCCAGGCAAGCCCTGGAGACAGCACTAGTGCACACTGAGAAAGACCGAGGACTCTCAAAGGCTACTGTATGCCAATTTCAATTGGCCTGGAAGAAGCCCTAACCAAACCCTGCCCTATTTAGTCCATGGGTAGAACTCCCAGGTCCCACCCCAGCCCTGCACCACATCCTATCTACTGTCTCCTGTGCTCTACCACTGCCTGAGTCCTGATGGCGGGTGTCTGCCCAACAACCTGAGCCCAACTGTTTATCTGACCTTTCAGGTCACCCTCCTCAGGAACCAAGAGCTACTTGCTAGCCCTAGGCTATTGGTTTCATTTTCAACCAGCGGTGGCTCTGAGCATTTATTCCCTCCTAAGTGACTGGCTCATCATACTGTACTCCACAGAAACCCTTAGAACAATGGACCTGAGCATCCTGCTCCAAGCCTGCCAAAAGCTTCACTTCCTCCTGAGAGCTGAGTCCATACCTCTGCCCACAGCACATAAAGTCCCACGTGGTGTTCTCTGGGTCCCTCCAGCCTCCAGACCACACCAAACGCTCTTGCCACTGAGCCTTGGTGTGCCGGGAGTGCGTCCTTCAGGTTCCTACGGCTGGGGTCTCTGGTGGCTTCACACCTCAGCCTGGATACCAGGCGCTACCCCAGGTCTGAGCCAGGCTCCCAGCCCCTTCCTCCCATCGCTTTGTTTCCTCCAAGGCGCCCGTAACCTGCAATTATCCCACCTGCCTGTTTGTTCAGTTGTTGACTGTCTGTCTCTCTTAACCAAAGTGTAAATTACACAAAAGACCTGTCTGTCTGTTGATCGCAGGATCCTGGAAGCACGCTCAGGGGCCAGTGAAAGCAAATATTTATTGAATGAATGAACTCCAGGAACTGGGAGCAGGCACTTTGTATGCCATGACGGTAAAACAGAAAGTGTAGCTTCTACCACCCCTAGATCGCCTCTCCTCTAGGGGGCCTTTTAAGGCTGGTGAGCCTGGAATAGCGGGTGTTCATCACTGCCACTCGGCCTGCCGGCAAAACGCTCATTTGAAGGAAAATGAGCCAATAACTGGTGGAGGGTAGACTCTTTAAGACATGGTTTGAGACTCTGGATCCAGCCTTTGCGAGAGGTGCTTGTGACAAGCCAGCTTGCAGAGAAGGACCCTGAGGCCCAAATGGCTGATGGGAGCATGGAAGGTCATAGGACCAGGGAGAGGAGGGGCTGGAAGTAGTGTCCATGCTCTCCAAAAGCATGAGGAGGGCCACATCTCTACCTACAGTGAACAAAGGCCTTAGGGAGGCCTGCGTCTGCTCTCTAAGAAATAACCAAATAAGCCCCGGTGAGCCTGGGTGGGTATGCCGAGGTGGGCAGGAATATGGGGAACACGAGCCCCCTAAAGTCTGTGTTCTGTCTGGACAGATTAAGGCCATGAATGAAGGAGTAAAAATGGGGGGGCTGTTTCACTGGGACAGAGCTGTTTGCGACGGAGAGGAAGCCAGAGGGGACCCAGGCACAGGTAACAGTGCCCAGTGGGTGGAAGAACTACAAGATCCACAGGAGTAAGATGGCCCCTGGAAGGTGCTAGAGGAAGCCTGGCATCTCACTAAGCTACTGAGGTCTAGGATTTTAAGTCCACAAGCTTCATCTCTCCTCCAGGCTAATGAGGTCCCAGGGGACACAGCAGGCTACCCTTCCCCTGCCCTCCCCACCCCAGAGCCAGTTTCTATTCTCCTCCCTACTTCTCACCCTATGTGGCTCCAGTCCAGCCCTCCCTCCACAGACCACCAATCACGAACCTTAGACACCAGGCTGGAAGGGGTTCCCAGGCCCCATCCTCGCATCCGGGAGAGGGGTCACCTACCTCAGTGGCAGAGACGGGAGCTTGGCCAATGCCTCTTTTGACTGAGTCCCAGGACCGGGCTGTCAGCATACAGGCGAACAGCGGGTAGAGCTCGGCGACCCCCAGGCGCTGGCTATACTGTTTCACGCGCTCCATGTCGGTCCAGATCAGAGACTGCCACAGATGGCAGTAGTCTAGGCGGAACTCCTCCGTGAGCACCTAGGGCAGGGCAGCAGTCAGTAGGCGGTCTCTCTTGGCCCCAGGCCTGAACCCTGGACGAGTGCTGACCACTGCCCAGGGGGATGAGGAAGGCCACAGCTCCCCCAACACTCAGCCGTTCCTAGGGGCCCAAGTGCAAAGCCAACAGTTTGAATATAATGAATCTGAAATTCCTGGGACCAGAAGCATTCTAGATTGCAGTTCTTCTTTCTCAGATTTGCATATACATCATTTCTTGGGGGCTGAATCACACAGCTAGGCATGAAATGCATTTGTTTCTTACATGCTTTACATGCATGGCCTAAAGGTGGTTTTATACAACGTGTTTAGCAATTCTGAGCATGAAACGAAGTGACGTGGCATAGAATTTTCCACCTGTGGTAGCACAGAGCTCCAAAGCTTCAAGTGCTGGGAGTGCAGATTTTTGGATTACGGATACTCAACCTGTACCACAAGCTTCGGTCCTAATTGGCAGAGACTGCTGACCGCCCTCCAAAATCTATACTATCATCTCCTTTTTAGGTACAGGCTACTTCCCTGGTCCCCCACAAAGACATGCACAGTCCCCGCCTCCCTCGAAGCTCCCACACACACACCCTAGCCCTCTCCTCTACTGTCTCCTCCTGTGAATCCTGGGAACAAAGCCCTGTGGACTCCACCTGCCACACCCAGGACGAGCGCGTGAGCAAGTCAAGGAACTTCTGTCATGTCTGGGCCATCCGTCACTGGGGCTCCATGTGACAACAGCTGCTCTCATTTGACCTGCGCCCTATTTTACCAGGCCTTTCAGAGGAGGCTGAGACTAGCGATGTGGTACCATGGCCTGAGAAAGGAGCTGAAGTGGACATGGAATCTCTTTAGGACCATTTGCCACATGGAATCAAGTCAAGTCAGGGTCCCAGGTTGACAGAGAACATCCCACTTTGATGGCGCTGATTGCAGCTCATTCCTACTGGTTGTTTATCCCAACTTCCAGAAGACAAGTCTAGGGCCTCCAGGCCCAACAGTCTCAACCCTGTTTGCCTCACTCGGGCTAAATATGCAGTTACCTGTCTCCTGAAGATTCCACTCACACCCAGCAGAGTCTGAGGCAGCCTGCAGTTCCCTGGGAGGACATAGCCACACTGACACACTGCTCCTACCTGCTCCTCACAATGGCTATAAAAGAGGCCAGAGCAACTTTGCTTTGTTGCACGGATGCTGAGGTTCAGGAAACTCTTGGGCTAGGACTATACAAAACTGACAGTTCTGGTGCGGGGTTGGAGGGGGCTCCCAGCTACCTTACCTATCTGTCCCCCATCTGCAGGAATTCTGGAGGGTGTCAGTGGGCTCCAATCCCCTGAAGGAGCAGAGTTTTCTCCTACCTGGTAAAGCCCATGGTCCAAGAGGACAATCTCAGCCTTGCCCGTGTCCGAATGCCTCCGCACTAATATGTTGCCCGGGTGGGGGTCACAGTGCACGAAACCGTTGACAAAGATCATCTCGCTGTACATCTTGCCCAGGTGGCAGGAGATCTGAAAGAGAGGCAGTCGAGTGGGGGCCCTGCCCTGCCCACACCTGCTGCAGGGACTTCTTTCCTCGCCCTGTCTAGCCACATTCAAGAGACGGCAGGAACCGTTGGGCCAGAGCAGTTTGAGACAATGTCATTCTCACATCGAAGACAGAGGCTCAGTTCAAACACGACCACACGGTGAAACCACTTGGAACTCAGTCGTGCTGGGACCCTAGTCTCCAGGGTTTTCTGTGTTCCCACTGTGACTTCCTACACGGAAAGGAAGTGAATGACGGCTGTCAGTCTTCACCTCCCACACTGTCCTGCCCACTCTCCCCATCTCTCTCCTCCCTCTTCACTCTTTCCCAAAGGTGAGAATGGGTTGTGGGAACAATCCCACCCACTCCCTTAAAGAGCGGGGCTGGGTCAGGAACAAGTGACAGATACAAAGACCCTCCTCTGGAGCTGCCCGGCTGCCAGGCTGGTCCTAGACAGCCCCAGAGTCCAGGCCCTGCTCCCCTCTCCCCATCCCCCAGAGCCCAATGCTAATCTGATTTATGATGTCTGTACAGAAGAAACGACACTGGAGAGGCCATTTAAATCATCCTGTCACTTCTGCACGCCCTGCCAAGGCAGCCTTCTTATCTCTACTGCCTTTTTTTTTATTATTAAAGCTAAAAGCCTCTTCCCAGTTAGGGAGCAGCTGCTGAATAGAACCAGACCAGGGCCCCCAGATGATCTGTCGATGGGTGTCCAGGGGACAGTGATAGACTCAGCCAGAGGATAAGACACCCCAAGACACTCACTGCCCTTGGTGTTTCTCCCAGCCTCAGTTGAACCTCAAAGTCATTAACAAATGAATGTAGCGGAAAAGGGGTAAAGGAGGCCTGAGGATTAAGATTCTCCCTCAACTGTTAAGTCTTAGGCAACAAGTTCTATGACTGAAGGTCGAAGGTCGTGCCTCTCTCCTGCTCTCACGGTGCATATCTCTCTCTCTCTCTCTCTCTCTCTCTCTCTCCACATCAGCCTCCTCTCCTTCCACGATCCCAGTGCCTTCCTACCTCAGGCATTTGTGTAACCCGTTCCTGCTACCACAAAGCCGTCCTGCCATCTCCCTACCTCTAGGTCCCTTCCTATCGAGGGCTGGAGGATGCTCTCACCACACACCCCTAAAGGATACGTGGCTTTCTCTTTCCTGGCATTTGCAATTACTCGTGTGATTGTTTGACAAATGACCATCTGGTTCACTATCATAAACTCCTAGGATAGCGGGGACTGGCTCTGTTTTGTTAAATGGCTTTACTGAGCTGTAATGGATGTGCTATAGACTGGCTCCGTTACACATGTGCTTGCTTGTACCAGCAGCACACAAGCAAAGGAAGACTCTGCACTCGCTGTGACTGAGCTCTCCATGGGCTTTAAGATGCTGTGTTTCCTACCTGGCGTTTACTCTAATACTATCAGTCTCCCCCAAGACCCATTTATAATCAGCATCAAGTTAGATCAAGAATGGCGTAATGGTCAAGAATGGTGGCATAGATCTATAAGTTCAGCACTCGGGAGCCCAAGATAGGAGGGTTGCAAGTCCAGGGCTAGCCTAGGCTACAAAACACTTGAATAAAAGAATAACCCCGCATTAGAACAACAGCTGTCATCCCTACTAAAAGTGCTCAAAAGGCAGGAACAATTATAACACACACACACACATACACTTTGCAGACCAGGGACTGAGAGCAAAGAGGTTAATGCTGCTCACAGTAGAGCCCCCTTTGTTCAAAGCAGGTATGCTCCCCAGCTACCTAACAAAGCCCGACTATAGGACTCACACCTACTTCTGCACTTTTCCCTTGAGACCTTGAACCAGCTGCTTACACTACTGGTTTCAGTAACTAATCATTCTCATGGATGGTTGCAGAAGTGAATGAGCATGTCACAAGGCTTGGGATCTAATGACCTCTTGTAGATGTCCCTGCGGAATTTGTCACTGGTTCTTCAAAACAGGCCAAAGGCGCTACCCTACCCCAGCACCACCCAGACGCCTGAAATGTGCCTCAGGTGAAACATGCCTTGGGACTTTCATTCTCATTAGGAATAGGACTTTGCCCCAGGTCAAGTCTCAGGGGTCCCAGAGTCACTGTGTTTTAATTCCTGGGAGATGAATCTTAGCCAAAGCAAGGCCTGGATAAGTCAGCCAGTTCCCCACCTCTGTGTCACCAAGAACCCTTTTTGTTAGGCTCCTTGGAGCTCCTCGAGGCACGCTTCAAACGGCCGTATCTGACAAACCGATTCCATTTATTAAGTAATCATTCATTTTTATTTGTCAAGGACGCATATAAAGTCCAATCAGGGCTCCTGATCAGCCCAAGATAAGCAGCGCGGCCAGACTGAGCTGACGGAATTCCAGTCAAAATGTGGAGAAGTGACATTTCATTTAGTCTGGGCAAACCTGTCACGGGGAGATGTATGATCTCCCTTAAGCTTTCTGAAATATTGTTAATCGCTCCGGGCCCCTTATTTCTACAATGAAAGATGGCCTTCAGGGGCACGGGGATTTAGGGTGGGGGTGCTCGTATCCCTGAGGGCTGATCATGGGCAGGTGGGGGTGCTGTTGACTACTGCCATGCACACGAGTGGAGACGCCAGAGAGAGTGTGCGCACATGCACGCTCTCACGCGCACACCCTTTCAACAGCCAGTTGTCACTGGGAGACCTCCCTGCTTGGGGGCAGTTCTGAATGTTCAGGTCAACAAGATGTCACTAGGACCAACAGGTAGAGAAGGCAAAGCACAAAGAACAGGAGTTGGTTAAGGCCGATAGCCCAGTGCTAAAGCCGTCTTGGTGCTGCCGCTGTGGGCACGCGTGGCCTGAGAGGAAAGCCACCCCAGTCCTCGATCTCCAGTTAGCGGCTACGTGGGACTGACACCATCTGACGCCATCTGCTCGACCTCCTCACAGGGCAGCCTCACAATTCAAAGTCAAATACCACTACCCAGGAGAAAGCCATTACTCAAGGGTAGATACACAAATGTCATCGCTTTGCTTTTTGAATTCTGTACACTGTTTTAGACATGGAGAAAAATGCATACCAGTCCCTACTAAGGGTGAGTGTTGGCGTTATAAGCATGGCTCACAGACACACCGAGAATGAAGTGGCCAAGGCTTTTAACCCAACAGAAGGGAGCAAGTGCGATGGCAGACATGCTTCGAGCGCAACTGTGAGCCAGGACTTACTCGGAGCATTTAAGCGGGAAGAAAGGCGAGTTCCTGGATGAAATGGGAACTACTCTGTCCTATGAGGTCTTAAGGGAAAAAAAGTTTTTAAAAAATCAACCTTTAGGATTATCTTTTCTGATGTAGGTGGGCCTTCTGTTATGTGTTATTTTCATTGGTTAATAAAGAGACTGCCTTGGCCCTCTGATAGGACAGAAAATTAGGTAGGCAGAGTAAACAGAATAGAATGCTGGGAAGAGGGCAATGGGGCAGACGCCATGGAGCCAGCCACCAGGTCAGACACACTAAATCTTTTCCGGTAAGCCACCACCTCGTGGTGCTACACAGATTATTAGAAATGGGTTAATAGCAAGATATGAGAGTTAGTCAGTAACTAACTCTCTAGAGATAATGGGCCAGGCAGTGCTTAAATGAATACAATTTGTGTGTTGTTATTTCTGGGACTAAGCTAGCTGTGCGGGAGCCAGGCGGGACAAAAAGCAGGCCTGCCCACAGCTCCTCACTACACTTTTCTACTGGGCAGAAACTATTTGCATCTCAACTGGAAAAAAAGCTACAAGTTGATGTATGACTTCAGGTTGAGCTCCGAATTGTAGAAAACAAAGAAAAGCACGTTTCTTTAGATATTAAAAAAAAAAAATCCTCGGGGGAAGGGAGTCGGAACAGTGCTGGTTGAACTACACTCAAGAATGACTTTGGAAGGGCATGTCACTCCTGAGGTTCTGTTTTCTTAGTTTTGGGGTGAATTTTCTTTGCATCTTGCAGAACTAGGCTGACAGCCTCTCTGGGAATCAATCTTTCCACAGGGCCTCCAGCCCCTCCTACCAGCACAGGTATTCAGGGTCCTGAAAAAGACCTGGCCTCTCCTGGGCTGGTGGCATCCCAGAAGTAAGGCCGATATCCCTGAGCCCCCATCTGACGACTTCCGTATTACTTCAGCTGTACCATCTACTGAGGTCCAGACCACCCCCCCCCCAGCGCTGCCTCTGCCTTGTCCGCAGAGGGATGGTGTCTACACGGTGATGGACAGGGGCACGTTTCTGGATTACTCCACGATGGGTCTAGCTCTGCGACAGATACTAGTCACTCTGAAGGAAATGGCTGAAGGGGCTGGGGGAGGGGATAAAAGACAGGAAGAAACCTAATGGCTTACTCAGTCGACAGTGACGTCAACCTGTCCAGTGACCTGACTCCAGAGAACAGGTGCTCAATGGTCAGTCCGCCTGCCTCTCTACTCCAGGGGGAGATTCCCCGAGGCTGCCATCTGAGGCACTCTCGGGAGGAAATCCTGGCTGGGTGACTCCCCAGTCCACACCTCAAAGCACAGGACAGTGCTCTTTACTAAAAAGCCCCTCAGAAGTCGGAATTGTACTGTGTGAAAAGAGCGTGCCACTCATACATGATTTCACTAATTACAAACGCCTTTATTCTCTAACAGTAGGAAAGAGGGGGAAAACAGGACTCCATAAAAAGGCTGAGTAAAGAATTAATTGAGTAAATAATATTTAAATCAAGGAGTTATTTTGGGACTTTTCTCAAGGCCTGAATTGGCTGAAAGTAGTTTAATTGGTCTATAATTGTGTGGATTAATTCATTCCTACCCCCAAGGAAAAGTCTATGTATGTTCCTGGGTGGGGTTGTCTCCAAAGCAAGGCCAACGTCTGTGGGAGAAAGGGGAGGCTGCTGTCGTGACATCTGTCCCCAGAGCCTGCCAGATTCTCCACAGAGGCCAGCCTGCTGCCCGGGGCATATCGCCATCACCCTCCTCCTGTCACCAGGAACAAAGAGTAAGATATAGAAACTGCAGACCGCTCCAGCTGCCCAGTGCTGCCCAGTGCTGCCCAGTGCTGAAGTCAACGCATTCATGGCACACAACAATCCCAGATGAGCAAGGCACACGGCCGTCCTGGATGCGCATGGCACACGGTGATCCTGGGTGAGCAAGCTGTAAGGTGATGTCCTTGAACACCCAGCCGCTGTGAACTCCTCAGCCTTACACTGTGGTGGTAAGGACAGGAGCAGAAGTGCCAGGGGGTCACAGGAAACTGGGGAGTGGCTCTGATGGTGGCACCTGGAAAGCCTTCTGTAAAGACTCGTCCTAACCACCCCACAGGCTGGTGCTTTCGGTACCTGGTCCCCAGCGTGTGGCAAAGTGGTTGAGATTTTAGGAAGTGGGGCCTGGCTGGGGAAGATAGATTATTTCAGGTCATATCTGCCCCTGGTTCTGCCTGAGACCTGCTTTTGGATCTCTAGCCATATGAAGACCCACTGTGTCATGGCCCCTTCCACAGACAAAGCCATTCCAACCACCACACCCTCCCAGTCATGACAGATGCAACCTTTAGAAACCATGAGCCAAAATAAACTCTTCCTCGAGTTACTTCTCTGACAACAGTAAGTGTTTTATCACAAAAAGACCAAGATCGCTTCTCTAATTAGGCCTTACCAGACTTAACATGAGAGCCAGACATGAGGACCTAAGAGACAGAAAAGCTTTCATCTCTCTACCAGAGATGCCCTGCAAATCACCCCAAGTTCAGAAAGGGACAAAAGTGAGTCCCAGGGGTCACTGCTATCAGAACACATGTGAGAGGAAGGAACTGCTATGGGCATCTGGAATCTTATTTCTAGGGTGACAGCTCACCCCACACACAGACTGCAATGTTAAAGTCCAGGAAAGGGATTCTCCCTCCCTATTTCCCTTGCCCTTGGACAGACATTGTCCTGCCAAGACAATCAGAGACTGGAATTTCAATGTCATCGTGTACTAGACATATATTCTGGGTTCAGCGCTGTGCCTCAGCTATCAAAGGATACTCCAGGTCACCGGCAGACTACTGCACCCAGGGAAAGCAGGGTTCCTCACAGCAACATAACAGAGGGCAGCTGACAAGTGAGAGTGCAGAGACAGCACTAGGCTCCAGAAAATTCCTTCCACCTAACCAATACCTCTGCAGCGAGAGAACAAGTCCCCGGGAACTACCTAGGGCCCCTAATATTCACGAGCATCTAAGAGTGATGGGGACGAGAGAGCAGAACTATTTCCCTTCTGATGATTGCAGGAACTGGGTCCACAGCATCTTTGGATACCAGCCAGCCAGAAGGGCTGGAAGATGCTGAGCCAGCCAGAAGGAGGTTAGAACAATACTGAGCAAAAACCAGGAAGGTTCTATTCTGTCCTCATAGGGTAGCGACAGAAATAAAAGTAATTAAGGGAAAGGCAGAAACTTCAGCCTGGCTTTTCTGATCGATGGCACTGCATACCAATCAGGTATGTCCAAATCTATACACTCACAGGCTACAGAAAGGGAACAAGAAGGAACAAAGGTTCCCAAAGACTCTAAGAGGAAGAGATGCCTCCATGAGTAATAATACCCTCATGAATTATGAATTATAGAAAATGTTTTTACACAGTCCTATTGCTTATAAAGCTTGCATGATGGCATCTGTCCCATAGCAAAAAGAACATGGACTCCTATCTCAAGTACTTCACTCAAGAGGGCCGGAACAATAAGTGACAAAGCCAGACAATGCCAGGTACCCACCCTGTCCAGCACAGGTCTCTTAGAAGCCCCATGCTTGGCTCTGCCCACATTTCTATTCTAGAACACACAGGCAGTGCCTGCACATAGTAGGTACCAGAGAACATGCTGAGAGGTGACTCTGACTTCAAAGGGAAAGAAGAGGTAACACCTCTACCACAAGAACAGCAGAAAGGCAGCCATAGCAGCCAGCATGAGACAGCAGCGGCATGATCTAGGGACAGCGGGCAGCAGAGCAAAGGCTAAGAAGCCTTGAACCAGCTACAGGTGCTCTGTGCCTATGACGTCAGCTCCAAAGAGGCTCCGTACCTTGATTTCTGGAAATGGGTTCTGAGGGTACTAAAAGAGAAGATTAGTTAGAAGGTTTCAAAGGTTTCAGCTAAGTCCAAAATCCATACCCGCTCTAATTGGAAGTTTGCTCCCTGGAGAGTGAGGGGACAGATTCCATAGTCATCCTCCTCCTCGTCCTCCACCTGGGGATCCTGGGGACCAGGGTTGAATCCAAGACCATGTAACAATGGCCGTCTTTTCCAACTGGCCCTCTCCCTAAAGAAGTACCCAACTGGCATCTCTGCCCAGTGCCCCTGGATCCAGTCAGTCTTGGAGACATGTGATGTCTGCCTACCAGGTCTCCTGCATCTGTCCCTGCAGCCCTGTGGTACCAACTCAGTCACCTCTCTCTTGGCTAATTTCATGTCAATTAAGTCAGGCCTCAGCCCAGGCAGGATCTTCAACCCACACTCACTGAAATCCAATTAACCTTCGATAAAGGTCTTGCAATCGATAGTCCTTCTGTGGCTAGAAGAAGCTTTCTCTGCCTGCAGAAGACTCCCACACAACCTTCGCTTTTAATGAGACCAATGACAATTGCTACCACCAGCTCTGAAAGTTATTGGCAACTATGATCCCTGGATATATATGCTGCTAGGCTCAGGGACATAAACAGGAGCCCTGGCAGGCTTCTTGCTCCTAGAAGGTGAGCACACCTAGGCAGGACCGCCTGTGCTGCAGATACAAATGACAGGTGAGCATTGACCACTCAAGGGCTTTATACTGTGGTGAGGTCTTCTGTGGAGACTCTGCAACCCTTCCTACCCTAGATACTCATGTGCACCCTGGGGTGGTTCCCAGGAATCTGCAGAGCTACACAAACTCCCCTAACGGTTCTGAAACAGGCGGCTCCTGAAGCACCCTGAGTCGGTGCTCACTCAGCCAGAGTCTAGTCTATAAAATACTCAGATAGAAAGGCTCCTTAGAGGTCATCAGGTCCACCACCTCCATTGAGAAAACTGAGGACCAGAGAGGTCAGTCTGGCTTGTTTCATTCTTGAAAAATCAGGATGTCTGACTCTAGCCTGGGCATCCTGAGTACCCACACCCCACACGTGCAGGGGACTTCACTAACAAGGCGTGTGGATGAAAAAGCACACCCTAAGTGTCCTGGGGTGACCTAGAAGCAGAAGGTTGGGTACAGAACCTGCTCTCAACTAGCCAGTTTCCCTGATACGGAGGAAACAGGAAGTAAAGACACAGCTTCATCTTCTCCCTTGCTCTGAGAAACTGATCCGGGTGACTACTGCAGTCATCTTGGTTTCATGCCCTGAGTCCTGTGGTGGTGACCCAGGAGGGCAGGGTGGAAGTCGATAAACAGGCACCAAAGAGACAGACAGACTGAGTCCCTGACTGGGCACCACTGCTCAGCTGTATGGACTTAGCTATTGTGAGAAAAGAAGCCAGCAGCAACCTGGTGCTCAGCGAGGCTTGTCCCTATCGCCACTATAACCCAGGACTGGATGCGGACGCTTAGGAGGACCCGGCCAGGCTCTCCGTGCCCAGAGCCCCAGGCCTAGGCAAGCAGCCCCAAACACACTCCGTCCCTCTGCCCTCGGCACTAGCCCACCTCACCTCATTCACATCGATCTGGTTCTTCTCCATGTAGGCCCTGTCGTTGACCTGCCCTCCCTCCACGAATTCCATCAGGAGCACCCTCTTGGTAGACAGCTCCCAGTGGATCTGGGGGACCTGGAGAAGGAAAAGACAAGTCCCATCAGAGGAGGAGGCTGTGGTCAGGGCCAGGAGATGGACACTGGCACATACTGCTTTTAGATGGAGCCGCTGCCAGAGAGGAAGCCAGGGTGAGGACTAGGCAGACTGCCTCAATCAGGTGGCCTTTCCAACAGAACTCCCTCACAGTCCTTCATGATGGTGGGAGCGGCTTCCTGACTACCCCACTGCCACTCCCCTAAGCCCCTTACCTTCTACACCACTCACCTCCCACCCTTGCCACCCCTCCATCTTACTGCAAGCCAGACACCAGAACAGATATGAGTACTTGGTAGCAAAATCTTTCCTACCTACCTGGAAGCTGTCACTGTTAAGACTTCAATTGGAAATGTCCGCCAAAGGCTCACCATGCTTTGAAGCATGGTCTCCAACTGGGGACGCTATGTTGAGAGGTTTGGGAACCTCTAGGAGGTGGGACCTGGCTGGTGGGAGAAGGCCACAATAGAGGCCTTTGGGACAGGAGCTCAGGTCCTGTATCTGGAAGTTCTGTTTTCTGGTCCCCTATGACGGAAAGAGTCTCTAATACACCCTTCTAAGTCACAAGCTCCACAATGACTTCACCACGATAATGAAGTGAAATCCTCTGAAGATGTGAACTGGAACAAATCTTTCCTGCCTTAGGCTGTTTCCATCAGGTGCCATGGTCAGTGTTACACACGCAGCTCACACTGGCGTTAAGGGCTGTTTCCTTCTGCCTCTCCCTCCACTAGAGCCTTGTGGGGCCCTAACTCTGCTACAGTGTTAGCACCTGGGAGGTAGAGAGTTTGAACCAGAGAATAAATTCGGTTTTCTGCTAGTTTCCTTCCAGCCTCCTATGGCAGACAATGCTGGATCTTAACCCAGTGTCTATGACCCATCTTCCTCTTCCCCACACATGGGAAACTTAAACCCTTTCCCAGCCTGGCACATAGTAGGTGGTCATGTGATACTAATTCATGTCAAAAATGCAAGTGGCCGTTTGCTAGAAGATTCAGTGAAGGGTTATTTTCTCTTTATAAAAGGATATTTGTGGTACTATTTCTCTCTTTCTCTTCCACCCTGAAAGTGAATGTGATTCTTAAAACAGTAACTGCCATCTTGTAATCAAAGGGGTTATAAAAAAAAAAAAAACTCAGAGAATCACTGGTACCAGCCCTACTGTTGCCAGATTAATAAGTGCCATCAGGAGACACCTCAAGGACTCCTTCCTGCTTCAGAAAGACAATAAACATTTTGTGACATATTTTTAATAAGAACATGGAGGGGTGTATGTGCCCACGAGTGCAGTTGCCCAAGGACACCAGAGACATCACTTCCCCCGGAGCTGCTTTTGCAGGCGGTTGTGAGCCTCTTGGCATGAATGCTGGTAACCCAACTCAGGTCCTCTGGAAGAACAGTGCATGCCTCCAGTCCAAAGAACAGCCATTAAAAAAAAAAACTGTAGGATTGGTCTTTCGGTTGTTTGCAAACAAATTATAAACTAATTGACACATTCCTACCTTCTGTGACTGTAACAACACCTAAAAGCAAAAGAGAACAGGTTCTCTCAGGAACAGCGAGGGGCAGAGGGCACCAAGTAAGCAGGTGATGCAATCACCACCACCAAAGCCATGATGTTTTCAGCATGTTATTTCTCCAAAATGTTGATAAACTATTTCCTCTTAAGGAGAAACACCAAGGACAACTACTTCAAGTGTTTTGGAGACCGAGTCCTCCCTCACCATCCAAGACTCAGCTAGACAACCCTCAAGTCCAACTACATACTTCTCCTAATTCTTCTGAGAAAGCTGAACCATCAGTCACTCTCTTACCTCCCGGTGCCCCCATTTCCATCACTGGCGAGGGGCTCATCAAGGGGTGCAGCTAACCACAGAGCTGAGAATGCGATGAGCCTAAGCTAGGTTTTCACCATCTGGAAATCTAGACTGATCAGGAAATCTGTGACTCTTCTGTTGTTTTGAATGCAAGATTTAGACACACTTGTCAACTGAAAACAAGTGCATGTCTGTTGTTACAGTTGGTCCTGGTCTCCTGAGGAAGGTACATTACTCAGGGGTTGAGTTCTTCCATTGATTTGGAAACCTAAGCTTGGCAGTGGGCCCTGGAGCTCTGTAAACATTAGGCCAGAGCCCCAGCAGGACCTACTGAGACATTTAGAGGACAGTCAGGGGAGCACCAAGGGCGGAGTGGGAGCCCAAGGCTGCAGGCTCTCTGGGCTGCCTGGGCAGGGATAAGCTGGGACCTCCCTCCCATGTCTTCATTCCCTACGTTGTGACCATTCCAGGCTGATAATCCTCAACTACTCGGGACTGGAAAGTAGAGTGAATTATCACACAAAGATGGTCAGAAAACAACAGCAAACTGCGTGACTTAGCCCTCAGGTCCCCAAATGGCTACATCTCACCACTGCCCTTGTACTTCTTCCATCCAGGAAGAGAAAGTGAGAGACAAACACAGGTAGGCAGCCATAAGGAAAACAAGCTCTGGGAGGCACCTCACCAGGTACTCACAGGCTCTGCAGGCCACCACTGGCCTATAGAACCCCGGTCGACAGTCCCATAGAGCCCCACCTGAGGGTTCCACCTGCTCCCACAGCAAGGCCGTCCCAAGCCCAAGAAGCAGTCTTTAAAAAGGTCTGAGATCTTAGGTAGTCTTGGCCTCATGGTGGGGCCTAGTCTTGAATATCTGCTTTGTCCATGCACTGTGGCTTGTCTAGCCCCTCAGCTAATACCCAGGGTGCATTCCTTCTGTAGTCAGAGCCTGGCTAGGCAGAGCACAGCTCAGCCTCCTACTTGCTGTACTGACTACGGACACATGCATAGTCTCTCTGCATCTAAGTGCACCCCCAGTCAGATGCTGTTGATGGTTACAGGGGAAGCTGCTTCACCTTACTTACCATTGGCATGGAGACACCAGATGCTGACCTGCTTGGTCAAACACCGGCTACCCTGTGACAGCTACACAGTGACTCAGGAGGGTCCTGATCCATCTCAGGGCTGAGTCAATGCAATACACTCATGCAAGCATACGTGGCTCTGTGATTCAGAAACTTTTCCAAGAAGTACTACAAAGGCGGTTTGATGCGCGGGCTTTACGCACGACTGTTTCCACCCATACCCTGCTTCTGTCCCTTGCTGGTTCACTAGGCTAATGACTTGATCGCTTGGGACTTCTGCTTCCCCACTGATGACATGGGGTTTAACACGACACCATGGGGCTGTTAAGGATTAAAGAGGAAATACATGAGCAACACTTCTAGGAGTGTCTAACACGTTGAAAGGGCAGCTGTGATCATACGTGTTGCTCATCTGGGAGTCTAATGAGCTATGACATATCTCTAAAAGCACACATATCCCTCGGGCTCCTGAGCTCATATGAAGAAACTCTGGCACGACCCTGCCCAATGCAACCCACCCTTGTCCCCACTTCGCCCATAGGCATACTCTGACCTCTTCCAGTCCCAAACCTGTGCTTAGAACAGCTTCTCCCTTCCGGCCTGTCCCCAACTATCCCCCATGTTAACCACAAGCCCAACTGCCTCCGTCTGGCTGCCTCTCACCTCCTTCCGGCCTCCTCTCTATTTATTCAGGGATGGGCTGAAGCCCAAAGGTTTACCGTGAAGAGTCGAGGGTATTAGACCCCCCCTCTCCCCTTAGGCACCAGAAGAGGCCTCGCACATGAGAGGCAAACTCTTTGCTGCGGCTTAATTACGCACAGATGTTGTGATGGGGTGCCAGCGTGCAGGAGCAATCCATCTACAGTCTTAAAAGCTGAGCTGCGTTTGCAGCGCAAAATTTGTTTCCTGCTTGTGATGTGCTTAGGCGAAATTAATTACTCGGGAGCCCTCGTTTCCCCCATTGTCTTAGGAATGGTATGTGAGTTCTGGCAGCCGTGGGTCAGATCAGTATGTTAATTATTTACCAATTTGGCATCCTTGTTCCAAAAATCTGTGTTGTTGTTATTACTATTATTATTATTCCATGTCTTGGTCTGGCAGTTGCTAGTTGGCTCCAGCCAGGGATGATTCTGCTGTTTCCATGGAAACACTGGAGGAGACTGCTGGGTTGTCTGGCTCAGCACTCTGGCACTGAGGGACACCTCTGCCAGGTAAAAGGTGGCAGAAACCCCGAGGGGAGCAGCAGACAGAGTCAGAGAGCCTGTCTAGAACCGGAACTCTACCCACGACACCACTGTGTACCGGCATGGACTGGAAGAGGCCACCTCCAGATGTGCCAGCGCTCTGTCGGAACAACAGTGCCTGACACACTATGACACTCACTAAACACTGCTGTCCCCTCTCCCCTCTCCAGCCAGCACTTGGAGGTCCTCTGAGTTCCTTGTCCTGGGTAGGCTAAGCACTTCCTCATGGGAAGGCACCAAACTGAAAATAAGTGTCCTTTGTGTGCAAAACACTTTGTAAGACGGGCAACACTTGGGCCTGCTTGCTCCCAATAAGAGGGAATTTTCTAGAGCAGGGGCCGATCGACAGTGCCTACCACAGCAAGAGATCAAGAAAACAATAAATACAGAAAAAGGAATTTTAAAAATGGGACATGCAAGCTGATACACACTTGAGGCCCTGCAGCCTCGTGCTTCATTTTCTGTGTCCCTGATGCTGTGGAGTGTTGTACCCCGTGCTGTGTCTCCCGTGCGCCCTGAGGTTTCTGTTGTACAGCTTTGCCCACTGTAGTGATGGTCAGGGACGCTGTTGTAACAGAACTGGGTACTGCATGAGCAAGTGTAATAAGCATCTTTGGAACAGGATCCAATTGCAGCAGTGCTGGCTATCACTGTCGCCGTCACCGGCATCGGTTCGTGTTCTATGGCGGCAGAGGGCACGGCACACAGGCCCACAGGGGTGCTCAGTTCATTCCATGCAATGAACAGATCCGTTCACTGACAGGCAGGTCAACAGTCACACCAGGGTTCGTTCTTTTGGAAATGGCCTTCAAGGGCTTTAACCTGGGTCTCCAACTACCAATCACCTACGTAAGTAAGAAACTTTGGCAGAGATATCCCAACTCCCACCTTCTAAGCCGGGATATCCAGGGCAGGACTCAATCCCATCCCCACACTCATTCCTACTGCCCCGCCCTCCTACCTTTAGGAAGTCAAAGTGCTTGAGCATGTCGGCCACTTTCTCTGCATTCCTCCCTTCATTCAGGAAGTCCAACTCGAGAGGCAGATTCTTCTTGGCTTCATCCACCAGCCACATGAATTCAAAATTTGGGAAGAGTTGCTTCACGGCCAGGACAAGCACCTGAAATCCAGCACGCAGCCTGTCAGCCAGCCCAGGGTGCCCAGCAAGGAAGGAACACTTCCGACTGGCTGCCTGGGTCTCCCCTAGAGGACACATAGGAGGAGAAACTGTTCTCCTGACCTCAGTCACTATAACTGTACCAATTCCAAGACAATGAGAAGCTAACAGCATCCAGAAGTAACCTTGACAACTGTTGGCTAGGTGCTCCCTGGCTGGGTACCCAACATTATGCTGAGCACTAATGTCCCTCTGAATCCACACAATTATGGGAGACATGTAGTTACATGCCATGTCACTAATCAGGGCTCTGAGAGCTCCTGTGGTTTCCACAGCTGCCCAGCAAGGAAGCCTGAGGCCAGTTCCAGGTGGGTGGGTCTACCAGGCTCCCAAGGCCTTGATCAGGACAGCTTCCATAAACCTTGCTGTGGCCACTCCCATGTTTGGTCTTACTTTATTGTTGTTTGTTTGGGGGTTGAGGGACTAAACTTGGGGCTTTGCATGTGCTAGGTAGGCAAGCTATCGACAGCTGACACAAACCCCTGGCCCAGAGTTGTTGTCTACCAGTTATAAAGGGTGGAGGAGGTGCTGCTGCAGTAGCTGACACTTTGCCTTTGAAGCCGTTACCATGCAGGCCGAGCATGCCTGACTCAAATTCTGAAAACGGAAATGCCCGAGATCTGAAACTTTCTGAAGGCTCGAATGACATCACAAAGGGAAACTTCCACACCTGACCTCATGACAGGCTGCATTCAAAATGTAAGAGCACTAAAGTTATTGTATAAAATTACCATCAGGCTATGAGTGCAAAATGTATATGAGACATAAATGAATTCTGTCTTTCGGCATCCCCAAGATGCCTCATTATATAGGTACAAAATTCCATAATCCAAAAGATCCTAAAACACTCTTGGTCCCCAGCATTTTTTATAAGAAATATACTCACCCTGCCTTATTTTCTGTTGCCTTCACAAAACAAGAACTTTTATGATTTAAAAAATGGAATAAATAAATCTTACAGGCTTGACAAGACAATGGTTTGTCCACCTAGATGAAAAACTTAGAATTCTGGCACTGGGTTCACCACAACTTCTTGAGGGATGAGATGAAGATGGGAGTTTGAGGGTCTATCTGGCATCTAGGTGCGAGTCTGAGATGTGTGTTAAACATCAGAGGCAGAGGACAAGAACCCAGTGAGAGGAGCCAAGCACATACCACACCCCCACAGGTGTGGGCACTCGGTGTCAATGCCCCCCTCACTCTCCACCTTTACTTTCCTTCTATGAACCCCCACCGACAGGCTGGTTCTGTGCCTCCATTTGTGCTGGTCTCAGATTATGCCCGCTGTACTAGACACATGTGAGAGAAAAAGAAATCAAAATCTATTCGAAAGCCATCACCCAAAAGGCACTTGCTGCTTTGTTTTGAAACCTTGTGATCTCTGTGATGTACCAGGTGCCGTTTTAGAACCATCACATGGGGTTACTATGGTCAGTTTCTAACAAAACAATTTTTAATTACATTGGGACATTGTCTAATTTCTTTTCAGTCTTGTCCAGCCACTTACTGGCTAGACCTGTGACCTTACACCAACTGGCTTCGGTTATTGTGTTTCTGTTTGCGTTGCATGAAACAAGAAGGGGGTAGTGACCCAGTGGGCCAGGGCACTGTGCGTCAGACCCAGGCACCTGGACATGACACCTACAGGCACCGCTTCTCATCAGGTGTCCTCAGATGACCGTCAGTGGGGACAGAGCAAGCACACAAAAATACAAGTGGCTGCCCTAGACCTAAGTTCAGCCTGGGGCACCAAGGCTACTGAAAGCAACTGAATTCCTCTTTCTGGGTGCAAGTTCAGAAAAAAAAACAAACAAACAACAAAATTGTAGGCATTTTGCTCAGGTCTGAATGCTCGGCTTCACCTAGAAGTGCAGGAGAGCAGCCTAGTGAGGTCCCTTACTTGTCCAGTTAGGACTTGACCTCTTGGGCCAAACCAGGTATACACCGGGCGGTACCTGTCACCTACACAGGTCTACACTGGGGGAAGCTGCTGACCAAGCAGCCATTACTCACTGCTTTCTCTGTGTTCGCGCTACTTATGAAATTTTTAATTATTCTTAATATCCAAGCATACTGAAAGACATTTTAAAGGTTTTTCCATCACTAACCATTCATATAATTAGTCATTCCTAATGCTATTGGTCACCATTAGTACTCTATGCCACTCATCACAAAGGCAGACACTTTATTAATATTCATTGCTAATAACTAATTAGTACATTAGTTCATAACCCAAAATCTTCACAGTACTCACAGAACTGGGTTCCATTCTATGGGTGGTGGGTCCCTCAGTGGTTACACAGGCTCTCTTTCCAGGGGAGAAAACAAGAATCCTGAGGGCACCCAAACTACAGACAGCACCAAGCCCTTTATTTATTATTCTTTCCTATACATAAAGGCTTATAACTCATACTGAGGCATAGCAAGAGAATAAGGAAAATAAGTAATTGTGATAACATACTGAAATAAAAGTTATACAAACGCGGTCTCAAAATACCTTCTTGTGCTGTACTGACTGTGGTTGGCTGTGGGTAACCAAGTCACAGACACCTGAAAACCGTGAAAAATTAAACTGTAAAGGGAGACTCTGTCCTTCAAACTGAGAGGTTTGCAGGCCAGTGGGTAAACTCAACTGTACAATCCTGATGATTTGAGCTCAACCCCCAAAATCCAGAGTGTCTTCTTGACCTCCATGCAATGCCATGGCATGCAGGCACCCGTACACACACACACACACACACACACACACACACACACCATACACATTTTTTTTTTTTTGATTTTCGAGACAGGGTTTCTCTGTAACTTTGGGGCCTGTCCTGGAACTAGCTCTTGTAGACCAGGTTGGCCTCAAACTCACAGAGATCCTCCTGCTGCTGCCTCCCAAGTGCTGGGATTAAAAGCATGCATCACTACTGCCCAGCACACGTACTTTTTTTTAACGAGAGACCTGTTAGAAAAGTCGTCAGTCTCGCAGGTACAGCAGGTCACCAGCCCCCTACGTGAGGTGGCCAACCTGAAATCCTGATGTCATTTATGAAGCCCAGGATATGTGCAGTTTTGCTCCACGGGGTGAAGCAGAAGAAGGAGGGGTCGTGGGTACGAGAGGGTTAGCTGCTGTTCTCACTTCCCATGGCTTACGAGAGTCATGAACGCCCCCTTCCCCCTTCTCTATTCACTGCACACCCGTCTAGGAGCCCAACCTAAGGAGATTCATTTTGGTTTCTCTCTGACGACAGATGCAACTGACTAAAATAAAGCAGGTGTTGTCTTCTGTTTGCCTTTTTAAAATTGTTCCCCAAAACGCACTTCCTCCATAAAACCCTCCCAGCAGCCAGTGTTTGCACCAGCAGCCAGCACTTACTCAAGTCTTGCAGATGTCTATTGGGCACTCACATGAACGGAGAAATGGAAAAGCAAACGAACACGGGAATATTTCAGGGTATCCATCTTCTCTTCCAGACAATTACATGCACAGCTGAGTGATGGGAAGGGGCGAGGTTTTGTTTTGGAGATCTGGGTGGGAACAGGGTTACTTCTGAGCTCTAACAGAATTTGCTTCCAAATCTGGAATCAAGGAACAGTGAGCAACTAATGCCTCCCTCAAGGTGCAGTAATCAAAACAGAGCAAGGCATTGTGGTCCATGCCCAGTGATGCCAGCACGAGAGCAGCTGAGGCCGGACTGCTCTGAGTTCACAAACAGCCTGGGCTACATACTGAGAATCTCTACCAAAAAAGAAAAGAAAACTAAAGATAATGAAATTATTTTCCCATATAGTAATTTGCCTCACAGTAGAGAAAAATCAGTTGTGAGACATACAGTAATACAATGGAAAACTAGAATAACGTGGAAGTTTGAAAACAAGTGATGGCATTTATTTGTTTGTTTGTTTTTAAAAACAAGATCTCTTAATCCAAAGTAGCCCTGGATGTACTAGCTATGTAGACCAGGTTAGTCTCAGAGAAATCCTCCTACCTCTGCCTCCCAAGTGCTAGAATCAAAGTCATGCACTGCCATGCCCAGCCACTGTGACATTTATTTATAATTGGAAAAAAAAAAGAAAGAAAACACTCGTCACTTAATGCTCATAATGTGCCAGCTGTATGCTACAGGAACTTTGCAGACACGCTCATTCCACCATTCTGCCCACTTTCTGGGCGCCCTGAGCACCCCTGGAACAGTATCTCCCCGCCCAGCCTGAATCTGGACCCAGGTTTTTCTCCGTCCTTCCTGGAGCCCTGTCTCCCACGAGACAGCGTGAGCTAATACAAAGAGGAAGCTCGGGTAAGGCGCAGAGAGAACTGTGCAATCAGCAAAGCACAGCGGAGGTCACTGCTATCGGGCGCTGTAAGATAAACACCACACCACGGAAAGCAGCACAGAGACAAGGCCCGCACTGGTCCGCGCTGGTAAAGACGGGTGTTCCAGGATGGACGGTCAGCTCGGGGCTGTGTAAACACCTGCCACTGGCCGGGTTTATCTTTTTTCAGGTAAGTTATTAAAGCTTGTGCCTTTCAGAGCATAAAAGAACAGAGTGAACACGGTTGCCCATGGGATGGCTTACATCCCTGAATATTTATGGATCTGTTTCTTTTAACTAAAATCAGCTGTTGGATTCTGTGCCAATCCAGGAATTACCTAGCCGCCCACTGTTCAATCCACCCATTTAGAAAAGAAACCAGATGACAGATACTGTGGAAATGCTACTTAAAAAGTTAAGAACGGAACTGTCACCAGCCGTTTCTTTAGAAGACCCTGTGAAAGGCCAAGTGACATCAAGCAATAGATCAGACACTGGCACTCGGGCCGGAAAGCTCAATGCATTAGACCACATGCATGGCCCAGCATCGGCCACGATTTAGATCCTTAGGGGCTGACAGAGCGAGGGTTGTTCTCCATCAGTCTCAGAAGGTCTATAGGCAACAGGAGTGTGAGGGGGTGACATAGAGTGGTGCTGTGGGAACTGGGGATGTCACCACCACCACCAACTTAGAGGCCACCAAGTACCCCAGCAATGACCACGGCAGTACATATGGCCTGCTGAGCTCCCACCACCCTGGGCAGGAGAGAACTGCGGCACTGGCCCGCAGGTGGAAAGATGGTGCCCGTCCCCTCGGTCCTGCCTGCTGAATCACTGTTCCAATCTTGGGGCCCAATTAGTCTGGCTCTGAGCAGTCACACAAATCAATAAGCATCACTAGCGGTGCATCTAGAAGTGGAGTTACCCCGACTGCTCAAGGGACAGTAGCGGGTGATAATGACAAAGCTGAAACGCGTCCCTGGCTGAGCCTCTCTCGTCTGCACAAAGTCACTGGAGTCATCAGACTTGTCAGGCGCTGGGCTCTGAGTGACTTCCCTCTCTCTGCCATCTCGCTACGCTCTGTCCCAGAGACAGTCCCCCATCCCCAAGGGTATGGCCTGGTTTGCAGAAAACACCAAACCCCAGGGTGGCACGCATTCCAGGGACCAACCCGGGAGCCACCTCCCCCACCCACCTTTCTGACCAAGATGATACTAGTGCATCTTCCTGTCAATCAGGGAAGACAGGTTTCACTGAGAAGGTGATGCTGGACGGGCCTGTGCCATTCAAGGGGATTCGTTCCTCTTGCCAGGACAGTTAGTGCCAGGACAGTCAGAGTTTTATTACTTCAAGCAACAACAAATGAAGAGACTCCCAGGGACTCCTTTTGGGGGTGGGGGCAGGGGAAGAATGTAAGGGAGAAAGCAGCCGTCTTTGGCATCTGAGTGATACCAGAGGTGTGCAGCTGTTTGGGGGCATGTGAGGAAAACTGTTAGGACAAGCCAGGAAGCTGAGGAAGCCGGTGGCCAACTACAGATGGGAAGAACCTTGGTCCTTACAAACCACAATGAGGAGTCGGGTTAGTCACCTTGGGACTGCTGGTACAGGTGCCTCCCCATGTGAGAGAGTATGGGTATTCCGTCTGCCTCGATTCTCTATGGGCACTCTAATAATTGCAGCCAAAAGCGTCCTAGCTGGGACAGCCTGTAGTCTTCACCTCTTCACTCTCAAAAGTCTCAATCTAGGAAGCCACTGTGGCCTCTATCTTTAGATGAGATATATGTTCAGATTCATAAGCTTGCCTTCCTAAAAAAGCAAATATCCAGAGGCTAAGACGATTAGTCCTTCTCCTTTTAGTAGGAATTACTTTAATCAGATTGCCTTCCAACAGTAAGAGGCAAGCCTGAAGGTACCCGACACCTGGAATTGGTGTGGAATGAAACCCAGCAATCTATGCAGAACCTACACCAGCCACCTACACCTGCCCACAAGTTTCTGGTACCTAAGGTGGCCTTAGTATCCCCTAGAAATAGACCATTTTCCTCCTGCCATGAAGACTTGCGCACCTCCCTAGGGTTGTCATTCCTAAAATAAAGATACCATTTAGATCTGGACTTTGGAAGAAAAAACTGATTTCTGATGTCAAACAACCAAAGTTTTCTAATGGGTTTCCTGGTGGAGAATGGTAACTATGGTAACTTTCCCACCAAAGACCCAGCCTGGTCCTGCTCCTGCTGATGGCTGTGTGGGTAGCAGCAGCAGGTCCTCCCGTGCTCCCAACCCTAACCCTCCCAGTCACTACCAAGAGGACATTGTGTGCTCTGCAGAGGACCCGCCAGGCATGCATCCCAACAAAGAAGGGATGATGACAAACTTTTACTACTATTCTTAACGCCACTGACTTACAGCCACCATTCCTTAAGGAGTCAGCGAGGATCTGAGCAGAGCAGTGACAGTCCTCCCCCTGGCCCTTGGGGCTATGATACCTAGGCTGGGCAAAGGTAGGCTCTTGCCTGACTCTAGAACCATCAGAAACCCACGGATCCTTCCTGGCTTCTGTTCTCTCCTGCTTATGACCATGTCTTAAGTCACCAAGAGATTCTCTAAAACCTTAGGTCTGTAGCATGGGACCAAGGCCACTCAGTGGTCCTGGTCCTTCAGCCCATCTACTCCCTCTAAGAGACACGCAGCAGCTATTCCAAACCTTCACCCCCTCGAGCCTCCAGTGCCACCTCCTACCCTCTCATTCTTGGCAGATGGTCTGGCCTCCTACAGCAGAGAAAAAATAGAGGCTATCAGCCTGGTACACACTCTGCTGCCCACCTCCCCTCCCCTCTCCAGGGCCCCACACACTCATTTATACACAGCCTCACTGCTTTCTACTTACAAAGCAAAGGCGCATCAAAGGCCAATGTGTTTGTGTTCTTGGTGCCCAATCTCTTGAAGGCCCTCCGCTGACTTGACTTCTCAATTATGTCTCTCTGCTGAGTCTCCCATATCCCTCCCCATCAGTTAAGGCCTCCTTGTGTCTCTGGAGCACTGAAGTCTACAGTTTGGACTAACTCTCCCCAGTCTCCCATGGGTGAACACTGGACAAGATGATTGTATACTGTGCCCCACTTCCTTGGGTCTCAATTCTCACCTTCACACCTTCATAGCTGTTCTTCCTAACACTTCTAGGATCCCCCAACCCCAAATAGCCTTTTCAGTGCCTTCCTGATTTGGTCTTCCACTTGGCAATGCTAAGAAATTCTGGAATACTCCACTTTCCAAAATGGCTACCACAATGTTTCCATTACAATATGCCTCTGGAACCTCAGATACTCATTACTTTTCTAACCTAGAACAATTTCCTCAACTAGACTCTAGCTAATATATAGGCAAAGCTTTTTGCTTGTTTTTTTGTTTGTTTGCTTGTTTGTTTTGTTTTTCTGAAGCATGCACAGGCGGCCTGTATATGCTGGTTCTACTGAACTTGTTCATATTGGGTTTCACGGTCTAAGTTGATGAGGACGACTGACCAGGTCTCTTCCTCAAAAGAGTACCAGACCTCATTACAGATGGTTGTGAGCCACCATGTGGTTGCTGAGAACTGAACTCAGGACCTTTGGAAGGGCAGGCAGTACTCTTAACCACTGAGCCATCTTACACCAGAAACCTAAGACATGCTTCTACCTCCTCCTCGGCCCCTCCCCACAAAGAGCTGGCCACAAAGTCCGGATGACTCCTCCTCTACCCCCGTGACACTGTCTTGCATCATACCTTATTTCTCTCACACCAACACAGCAGCCTTCAATTAGATGGACTATCCGGACTTTGTGTTTTCCCAGTGCATCCTCCCGACTGCCCATACACTTTTATTTCCAGTGCATATCTGATCATGGCAGTTCCCTGACTAGAATTCTAAATGGTTCCCCACTGAATACTGAACACGCCGTCAGTCACACAAGTACGTCATTGTTGACTATGGCCAGTGTTCCACACCTGGGCCTGGGATAAGGGGCCTCTCCTGCCCCGCTTATCTTCCCAGTCTCACTTCCAACCCCTCCCACCATCTGAGTTAGTGGAATTCTCCAAGCTCCTCCTGCTCCTATTAGCCTCAGGGCCCTCCCACACGCTAGGCTATCCTTGCACTGGCCAGCAGTGCCATAAGTCCTTCAAGTCCGCAAGGACATTAGCCTTGCAGGGAAGCCCCCTTGTCAACGCCCCGCATCCTGACACAGTGCCTTCCCGTGGTTGGGAGCTCAGGATCCTACTGGATGAGTGTTTGTTTACATACCTGTCTCCTGTACTAAACGGGAAGGTAGGGACGGAGCTCACTTACTCAGAATCCCTCAGCAACACACAGTGAGAAGAGACCTTGGTTGAGTCTAGATTAGGAAGGAAAGGAAGAGAGACTAGGCAGGAGAGGGACATGTGGGATCAACAGACCGTTGACCTCCATGTATGAGCATTGGCTTCGTCTCCAATAATAGGAGCACATACGTTCCCTCCCTTGCTGGACACACATGTAGAAGATTCCAGGAGTACACAGGCCCTCTTGGAACCTCCTTAGGGTCATTTGCAAGAATGTAAGTTTGCTAATTCAAAACAAACATCATAGAAGCAAATGAGTCATCCGCATAACTATTTCTATGTGATCTGCACATCATTTTTCTGTGCTTGGCTCATCATGTACATTCTTAAGCTATAATCTAATACATTATGATGCATCTCTGCCTACCCCTGAGGAGATCGCCTTTGGGTCCTCTCATGTCTACCGCACCTCACTGGAGGCCTCCCTGTGACTCAGGTCTCCATCAGGACCTGAATCAGTTCGGCCCTATCAGATGCTCATCGGGTTCCGATACACATCCCAGAGTATTTCAGGACAAATCAAGAAATGACCAGCCTTACCAGGGTGTGATTCCAAGTTCTTATGACACAGCCTTGGTCGTGCCTCAGCTCTCCTCTCCCACTCTGCTCCTGAGAGGGCCACCGTCCACCCACCAGCCTGAGTAAGTATCTGGGAGGCTGTCAGGCTCCTGAGGAGAAAACGAGAGAGAAAGGGGGAAGCACCCACCTCCATCAGGAGAATGTCCTTGGAGCTTTGCGCCTGGACCTTCGGGTGCTGGACCTTCACGGCCACAGTCCGACCGTCGTGTAGCACTGCCTTGTGGACCTGGGCCAGAGAGGCTGCCCCCAGGGGGGTGTCATCGAAGCTCAGGAACAAATCATGGATCTGCCAGGAGGGGAAAGAGAAGAGAGTCACTGAGAGGAAGGTGGCCTAACCTAATGAGAGGGTGAGGCAGAGAGATGATGCCCCGGAGCTGTCCAGTGTTCCACAGCAGATCTACTGCCCCACTGGTTGTGTGGGTCCCAGCTGGCACTTTAGCTATGGCCAGAATCCACACCAAACACACGGATAAGACAGGACAGAAGACACACATGAAGGGCATGTCTGCACAGGAGCACGGGAGCCCTGCAACCCCCATCAAAGGCCAGAAAGACTGTGTATCATTAGTCCATTTAACAATCCACCACTGTGTCTGCTGGCCCTTCACGCACAGGTCATGAAAAGTTAACAGAACCAGAGCCAGAGCAGCCTGTCAGGCCAGAGGGCAGACATGCCAATCCTGCCAACCTAGACAGCTCAAGGCCCTTTGAGCCGAAGGCTTCGAGTCACAGCCACCAGTTACCTTTACCTGAGCAGCGGCCTCGACACAGTTTCTGAGCCATTGCTGGCCTGGTCACACCCTAGCAGGATTCTAAAATGAGTCTCTGGGAGTTCCCTTGCCTCTTCTGTGCCTCAGTTTCTCTCGGCATGAAGTGAGAAGTGCACCCTGACTCTTGCATCTTCTCTTGCTTTCTTCCCCCCTTCCTTCTCTTTTAGAACTGCCATATTGGTTCTTTCTGACTAATTGGTCACCTCTGCATGGTCCAAATACAAATATCCTACTAGATGGAAAGAGAGCCCCCCCCACCAGAAACTTTTCTAAAGATTGGCAAAGGTAAGTGGGAGGAGGGGAAGAGGTAGAAATTTTTAATAAAAAATAAATAAATTTAAAAAAAGATTGGCAAAGGCTGTGGTTCAAATCCTCTCCATTTCTTTAAAGCCCTGTGCAGCCTCAAAGTTCTATTTTTGCAGACAAATACACACCAATCTATTACTGTATTTAATCACATGCATCTGCTTCCCTACTCCCCATTCAAGGTCAATTCAGTCCTCTTTCCCACCCCTTTCCTGCTTTTTCCCTCACTTGCAACCACCTTGTCCTGCCCTTCAGCACTGCCCCTTTCCTCAAACCTGAGGTGCCAAATGTCACACAGCTACCATCCCAATTCTGTTTGCTAGGACTCCCTCTTATTCTCACATCACAAATAGCTCCACCTCCCTGCTACCATTCCTGTACCTCCCACTACATTTACCAAAATTCTGCAGAGGACAAGACCCAGGCATCAGGGAAGGGTCTCAAACGTTGGTCATGAGAGACGGCTCTCCAGTGGATTAGATACCAGGATGGTGTGTCTAATCTCCTTGCCTTTCCCTTCTCTGAGAGTGCTAGACTTCCTGAGGGCAAGTCTCTTCTGCTATCTGCTTACTTGCTCTGGCTCTCTCGGCACAAGAACTCTCATCATGGACTTGCTCTTGGGATGCGAGAACGCCGAAGCCACCTCCCCCAGGTGCCATGTGAACGGGAGTAGGGTTGGGGGGGTGCTACTCTGGCCACTGTTCTACCCCTGTAATTTGTACAGGGATGGAACTAGCTAGAGTCAAACAAGTACCTGCTGAGTGGCTAACCCCAGTGTTCTCTCCACTGGAGAACAGAATCAACCTAGTTTCCCCCTTGAAACAGCTCCGCCTTCACACTCCCACACTGCTACGAACACAAACACTCCAATGGACGTCTGTCAGAATGGGGAAAGCATGAACCATGTCTGAACTTTACCTGGGCACAGCCCACCTGTTACTCCAGGTGAGGCCTCCACCTGGTCTGTCAGAACCCTCAGGAGCCCCAGTCACCCTGATTGGCTCAGAAATGGATATGTGGCCCAATCAAATTCAAAGTAGCCCAATCATATTCCGTTCTTCTGCGTCTGTTTAAACAGTGGGAGTAGATGTACTTTCTTTTGAAACTAGGAAGAAAAATACAATTCTGGGTATGCCAAGGGTCACAGAACAGAGACATGGGAAGCTAAGGCAAGAAAGGAGGAATCAATCCTGTTTAGTTTTCGTCCTTTCATCTGGCCATCCCTCAATTCCTCGCCTATAATTCCTTTTGTTTGTTTGCTTGCCTGTTTGTCTGTTTGTCTGCTTGCTTGCTTGCTTGCTTGCTTGCTTGCCTAAGTCAATTTGAGCAAAGTTTTGTAACAGAGACAACTAAAGAAGCTCTAACTAACACCATCAGGCACCCGATGAGGTGACCGAGGTAGACCCAAGCCCAGGGCCCCTTAGAGTCATGGAAAGTGTGGGTTTCAGCCCCTCCCTGCCCCCTGATTGGAAGGACTCAGGCTCAGTATAAAGCAGAGCTTCTACTACTGCATAATGAGATCCACAAAGATCCCTGTGGAGACTTACAATGCCTGGAGGACCCCCAAGGAGTCCGCTTCTCAGGGTAGAACTGTGAACCTTGCCCAGTCTTCCTGTGGCCCCATTCCCTAATCCTAGCCCTTGCCTGGCCCAGGGAATGTGTCACCTCCTTCTCAGAGAAGGACAACCAGTTTTAAGCCCGTGTCATTGCGGGGACACTGCAGAGTCACTGCACCCAAGAGTGACATGGCATCTCTAGGGCTGTGTGACAGGAACAGCTGCCAAGAGCTCCCCACAGGGAAGTGGAGGAAGGAAAGGGCTGAGGCAAGCAGATCCTAATCTCCAGAATGAGAGGAAGCCGGGCTTGCCATTTCACCCAGGGACAGGAAGGGGCTGCCCCCACAACCTCCTGCCTCCATCTGGGGATGGAGGAAGCCCCCAAGATACCCCCTAATCCCATTTGCTAACTCGGCATTTAAACCAGCTCTAGCAGGAAGGGGTTAAACCAAACTCTCAGTTTCACCTGCAGAAGCAAAGGAGTCATAGAAAGGGTACCAGGAGGCATCTGTCGGGCAAACCCCTGTCCCACCGCCCACCAAGCCCCAGCATCTCTACAGCCATCTTTCCTTCTCTAACCAGAGCTCCTCCACCTTCCCATGCTCACGCAAACACATACACACATACACAATAATTGATCGCTACTGGATGCTCCTAGCTGGCTTATAAAAAAGGTAATTAAAGATTGGTGCTGCAGCCTGTAATTAAATATGAATAAAGTATCTCTAAATGGAACCGTAATTCAAAGTGTTCAGTGAAAGTACTTTATGCTGATAGATAGTAAGGAAAAATAGACCCTGTCCCGAAAGCAGAATTATACCCCCCGTGCAGCTGAAACAAACGCTGCCCCTCCCCTTCAATCGCCAAGGCCCTGCCTCATTCCCTAGCCCTCTCGGCAGAAAACCATTAGCACAAACAAACGGCAGCATCTTCAGCAATTAGAGTCAAGCAGGGCCCTCGGCTGCCTCCAGTTCCGCGTGGAAACTTGTCTTCCTTCTACGGCTTGCTTCCCTGTTCCTCTCTCTGTCTTCCTCTCTCTCTCTCTCTCTCTCTCTCTCTCTCTCTCTCTCTCTCTCTC